TGAGGCGGGGCCTCTGGGCTGTGCACAGAGTCAGGGTCCTGAGCGGGAGCTCTGGGCTGGGGCTCTGCCTGGGGCTGGGGCGGCGGCTGCGGGACCTGCGGGCAGGGGTCTTTCAGCACCACGGGCTCAAAGATCGGCTCTTTGCCACAGTCCTGGCTCTTCTCCTGGCTTCTCTCTAGACCAGATATCTTGGGGACGATCGGCCCTGCATCCTGGCTGTCGTGTTCGGGAAGTGTGCCAACACCCAACTCCGAATCTGTAGGGGAGAGCGAAGACAGAAGGACAGGCAATTAGTGACAGTGAGTGTGGAACAGGAGGGGAAGCAACCCCAAGACCAGAGCAAACTGTCCCCACTCAGACAAGTCCAAGCTTCCTGTCTGGGTTCCACCACCTGCAGAGATGAGGAGGATGGGGGGCAGCTTTTGCCCCCCAGAGTCTGAAAAATGAATGTTTTCCTTAATCTTGACAAAACCTTTTATGAAGCAAAATTAAGAATAATAGCCGACAAGTTCATTTTTCTGTTTAAAAAACAAACACAGGTTTTGGATATACAAAAGGTAAGTGTTTCCAAAAGCAAATGCAGCAAAGCAAAGGTTATTCAACAACAGCAAATGCAGCAAAGGTTATTTAACCGCACACAGATGTTTTTCCTTGGCCTTGCCTCCCTCCCCACTTTCCACTTTGATAGATGAGACACCTTGACTTTTAGTGAAATAATTTTTTGTCGAGCAAGTGCTAGCCTTCCGGTCAAGCATCAAGCCTCCTAATGCTTAGCAACTGATCCCGGCAACGTCTGAGACCAAAAGTGCAAGCATGAACTTAAGTTGAATTTACTGGCAACTACACCTGCTAGAGCATTTGAAGGATCCCGCCCACCCTCCCCGACCACACCAGGAGCACTCACCCACGTGATGACATTGAGACTGAGACTCGATGTAATATTTAAGTAAAATTCTACAATCATGAAAGAAATGTGGAAAACAGACGCTCCTGTACGAACTTAAAAGACATGTGTTCCTCCAAGGGTCAAAAGGTCAAGGCCACATCTAGTGTAGGGGTTGATTATTCCATCAGTCAAATTCCATAAAATTCCCTAACAGGATAATGACAGACAAACACGGCATTACATATTTTAAAATGACCCTATTTATGAGTGAGTGCTTTTGTAAACACCTGGAGGAAAACGGCTCTTTCCCACATTTTTGTGCAGAAATATCCAATCTTTTATTACTGCACAACTTGTAAGTGGGAGTAGGCCCCAATGCCCTCTGCAGTGAGGGTGTGCCCAGGCATTCCTACATGAACTGCTTCGGGCACAACGTTCTCGTCCCATCTCACCGTATCCAGTGTGAAGAACACAGTGTCCTCACTGCCCGGTTAACCTCTGGTGACACATTCGTGTATCCTCCCTTCTCATCTTACTTCCTGGAATGTGCTTCAAAGCAATCCATTATTTCCAATGTTCTTTTGGTAACAGAGATCTAACCTATATAACACTCACAAAGACCGACCAAACGGGGTTTACAACAAAGTGCATTTCTGGCTAATATGAACGTGGCCATCTTCCAGGCCGCTGGGCACTCACAGGGACACAGGCACGGGCTTCAGGTACGGAAGGAACAAGCACCCAGGAAGGGCCTGAGAGAAGTAACTCCGACTTCCGACATCTGCTCGGGTGTATTTCCATCGGGTGCCGTCTTGAGAATCTTTCCAGAAAGATTTTTGCTTATAATAAGCTGACATTCTGTGAATTCCCAAAGCCTTTGTTTCCAACCTGAGGGCTGGGAAGAGGACGTCAAGATCCTTGATGCAGAAAGACAGACAGAAGAGTTCCTCAACCACAAGGACGACGCTCTGTCCGCAGACCCCCCTACGCAGGCTCTGCTTGCCTCTGTGTGTTTTTTCCATCATTTTCACAAGGTATTCCATAGCGAGTAATCACATGAGCTCACTGAAAATCACAGGCTGCATACACTGTGGGCTGGCAGTTAGGTCTGGGGCAGACTCCTAACAGCGCGCGCGCGCGCACACACACACACACACACACACACAGTTAGGTCTGGGGCAGAGTCATAACAGCGCGCGCGCACACACACACACACACACACAGATTTTCCATTTCCTCAACGAGAAGGTCCGTGTGCACAAGCAGGACTCGCCACCCTTTGGCCGCTAATTTAGGATGGTCACGCCTGCTCCAGTGGCAGGGACGTGGCTCTCCTTTTGTACGGCTTTGTTTTCTCTGGGCTGGGCTGGTGAGGAATGAAGACAGCGATCTTTTCTATCCCATTAAGTCCACATTCAAATTCATGATCTCCCTCCAAAAACCAATGTCTAGACCAAGTTCCTCTCTGGCATAAAGTTTCCTTCTCCAGGGGGCTATGCTGGTAAGGAAGCACGTTTGAAATACCGAAGTACTTCATGCATCTAGCGGGACTGCATGATCCCCTGGTTCTTTATTTGATGAGCCTCTAGAATTTGGACAATGCGGTCAGACTTGCAGGAGGCCCTGCACAGGCTGGGGCTCCCTTCCTGAGGCTCTGAGAAGGCAAATGGGGTTGGCTTTCGTGTCTCCTCTGTTGCCCATGTCTCGGTCCCAACATAAACACAGGCCGAGGGAGTAAGAGGAGTGGGTGAGCCTGGGAGTCACTGCGGCCGCCACCAGTCACCGAGTGCACAGGGAGACCCAAAACTCTCCAGCAAACCCTGGGAGTGTTTATGAGACAGTCTGTGATGGATGACAGAAGAACCTAGAAGGCACGGATTTTGGAACTAGACCAGAATCTGGGAGACCATCTGAGAACCTTTCAAACTTCCATGTGCACACAAATCGCCTGAAGACGTGATTAAAATGCAGATGTGGATTCAGGAGCTTGGGGGCAGGGCTCCAGGATCTGCTTTTCTGAAAACTTCCCAGGTGATGCTGATGCGTGGACCATTCTGTGACGGGCAAGGCTCTCATCCAACCCTCTCTGACTAGACCAGTGGTCGGCAAACCGCGGCTCGCGAGCCACATGTGGCTCTTTGGCCCCGTGGCATGGGCCACGAAGTTTCAATCGCATTGTACGTGCGCGCCTGCACGTGGTATTTTGTGGAAGAGTCACACTCAAGGGGCCAGTTTGCCGACCACTGGACTAGACAGTGAAGAAGCCCAGAGAACTAAGGAACTCGCTTGCCGGAGGCCATTGGCTATCTCATAAATCAGTTCATAAATCAGACACCACCAAGAGCCTTTTCTCTGATTTACTCTATGCTGCCCCCTAAGAAGCAAAAATCCTAAAATAAAGCAGACAATGGTAACTCTAGGACTCATTTAACATATTTATGCACAACCGGACAGTGTAAAGGGTTAGGAAAGTTACAAAGAGTTGCTGGAGCACTGCCCTCAGGCTAAACCTGAAAGCTATCGTCACTCCATCAATGTCCTGGTGCTGCAACCTCTGAGCAAGACAACGACAGGCTTGAGGCCTGGCAGGAACTTCGGGGCTGAAACGGTTTTATGACTCCCCATTTACACACGTCTCTGGAGGCACATAGTAGACATATTAGATGTCAAGCGTTTTTGCAGCTAATCGGTAATGCATTTCCTCTTCCTTTCAATTATTCAATAAATGTATCTTCCCAGTTAAGCTTTTCCACCCGGACAGTCAATTTGTCTTACTGCGCTTCTCCAGAATTGGCAAGAATACATTTTAAAAAATCATTTTGTATTGCTCTGTGTGCTCTGAATTTGCCAAAGGATGAAATTTGCTGAGGTTGAAAGAAATGAGAATGTGCAAATAGACTGGTCGTATTTAGAAGTTCCATTCATTACATTTTGAGAATCAAAAATCTCTCTTCTTGTGATTATAAAAATAACACAACATGCTAGTAAAAGGCATGCAATTTAAAATTACACTGCATACTATACAGTAGAAAGGGTGAATTTACTGCATGCAAATTATACCTCAATAAGCTTGACTCAAAACACCATAGAGTTTTTACAAACTTAAGGATAGATTAGGAAAGAATTTGTTTGATTTTGATACAATTCCCTGGGGAAAATGGGCCCTCTGATACTTTACCAGTAGAATGTAAACCCTACTGAGTAGGGCAATTTGGCAACATTTAGCCAAAAAACCTAATGGGAGTTCCCTTGGGCTGGTGTGTAAGGATTTGGCTTATGGACACATTCAGCATCATGGTTTGAATTGCAAGTTTGGAAACAACTCAAGTTGTAATCATTAGGGGACTGGTTATTTATACATTTGGTACCTCCATAGCATGGCAAATACTGCAGCTATAAAAACGAATGTGGAACTCTGTATGATAATGTATAGCATATGCTAGCTTTTAGGACAAATGGAAGAAAATGAACATATATTTTCACTTTATGCATAGATGAACTCTGGAAGAATACACAAGAAACCACAGCAGTAGGTACCTGTGTGGGGGCATGGGAGGAGAGTCAAGTAGACAGACAAGGAACTGGGGTGTGTGTGTGTGTGTGGGGCGGGGGAGGTATTGCACTGCACACATACATATATTTTTAAATTCTGGATCATGTGATTACATTACCGATTAAAAATTTTATAAGAAAGTTAGTTTTACATTTAAAAACATTCTGAGCAAGACAAAAATAAAAAGTAAAGCAAACCAGACGGGGAATTTGAACAGTGGTTTGAGTATATACATGGAGAGTATATTTTATATAAAATAAAATGTAATGTGCAAGTTTCAATCATTAGAAAATAAAATGAATTTTATGAAAAACATAAATGACTAAAACTGACTTAGAAACAAACAAACCAGATCATAAGAGTAAACTGGAAACTACTCAATAATCAACACCTCAACCTCCTAAAAGGCACCAGGTGCCTCTAGTGTTACCAACAATGTGGGCTGAACCTCCAAGGAACAAATTATCCATGTCATTTAAAGAGAAAGCCAGCAGCAAACATACAACGAAAGGAAGAAGCCAAAAGTATTATTTATAAAAACTATAATTAAGCTCTAGTCAGAAAACATAGACAATTAGCTAAAGAAAAATATTAGAACCACTAAGAGCTCAGTAAGGAATTCAAATAAAGAAAAACCAGAAACATTGGTAGCTTTTGTACACCAGCAACAGTGAATAGAAAAATAAAATTGAAAAAAGGATCCCCTCTACAGTAACAGAAATCATATAATACTTGGGAATAAACAAAACAAAAAAAAGATTCCAGAACTGAATCCTCAAAAATGCTTAGAGAATGTCTATGTTCAAGGGCGTTTCCT